GGCTACATTGAAAACCATACTCGCCTTCAAGCAGATCGATACACATGCGCAATTCTTTCTGTATGTGTGGAAAAAAAACGTGTAAACAAGGTCGCCTCTGCACTTCATCATTTACCAGACCCTTCCTCTTCCGTAGTTGAGCAGCTACTCCACACGGACAGACAAATCATCCTACAGTTTCCTCTCCAAGTCTTTCCAGAAGCCGAGCTAAGTGCTCGTCGACCTTTGCGGATGCTTTACGCATATCTGCGGCTTCTTGAAACAGCGCCAACAGCTCTTTCCGAGTATCTTCGTCGTGCGTCTTGCTTCTGCGTCGCGTATGTCTGTTCAAGGACTCGGGGGTGACGTGCGGCGGTGTTGCTCTCTCCTCATCCTGTTCCGGGGGTGTTTGTGTTGAGACGGCTCCAATCGCATCCGCAGGTGTTTGCAGCCTTGAAAGGCTAATATCCGTGCCGATATATTTTCGAACCCATTCGCGTTCGCTAACGTAGCTTTGGTCTGCGATAACAGCTCGTGATGAAGCATATACGAAATAGCAAACGACCAATCCGACGATGTATGTGATGAAAACAGCACGGCTACCTACCACACCAGCTGGCTCATCGAGGTTTCGCGTCCAGACATATCCAAGGTACACACCCAATCCTATGAGGAAAGCGTTCAGAGAGGAGGATAAAAGCATGTTTGGGGCTGACATGCTCAGCACTGCAGCGGCAGAAGGCAGACGTGGGTGAGATCCGGGCAGGATGTCATGGTAATGAACTGATCTGGAGCCTTGAATCCATCTCTTCACTTGGTCGGCTCCTAAGCACCGCCCTAAAATGCGATATTGGCTTGTTGCGTAGTATACAGCCATGATGGATGAAACGAGGCTGAAGGTGAAGAAAGCCCTTGCAATCCAATGTGCGCTACTCAGGTTGTCCAAGGAGAGTGCTGTAATCGCTATTTGAGCGAGAATTGTACCCTGTTGTTGCTTCAGCAAATCAATTCACTCTTCTCGACTTTTACAGGCTTACAGCGACAGCGATAATATTGCTGTCATCCTGAGCTGATCGCCTGAAGTCCAAAGCTTCGGAGTCTATGGTGCTGCCCAATATCTGGACCTGGATCCTCCATACCTCGCGACTTCCAAATATGCAAATCATCCAACCGGATAGACCATAGTTTCGGGCGAAGAAGAAAACACTCGATACAGTGTGATAATTGACGCGCGACAACAGGAGAAGGAGCGGAACAACGTCACCTGTCGAGACCCCAAAACTCATGTCTTTGGGGGTATAGGAACGACTTCCAGGGTACAATTCAAAGTTGGAAACTCTGATTTTGGTTGTTTGGTCGAAATGGTCGATAAGATACGGTTGTGAAACTCGGACAAGGCTGAGGTGTAAATGTATGTATAGGTAGGCATACCTAGGTATGGTCCGTGCGGGGCTGAGGGCTGCGTTTTGCTGGGATTAGTACCAGCAAGAGTAGAAGGTGATAGTTCAGTAGAAGCCAGTAAGGCCTCCACATAAATCAGGGGATGTGATCAAATACGCATCACACTAGGGCTAAGCATACCCATAGCAGACCGGTGTCTCTCATTGTAGTGCTCTAAGGCTGTTTAGAATGCAAGGCTCACAGCCTCGCCCGAGCCTCATCCTTGATAACAAGCCCAAACTTCCCACTCTTCTCCTTGTCCCTGAGCACTCTCCTAAGAATCTTGCCAGAAGGACTCTTCGGAATCTCATTGATGAACTCCACTTCCTTGACCCACTTGTACCTGACCTTCTTCTCCTTGACATACTCGATGATGTCTTTCCCGATCGCTGTGCTCTCTTCCGTTCCAGGCTTCAGTACGACGTACGCCTTCGGCAGCTCACCAGAGTAATCATCCTTCACGCTCATCACTGCGACATCTTCGACCTTCGGGTGGCCTAAGAGTAGGTCTTCGAGTTCAGCCGGTGCTACACCGATGCCCTTTACTTTGATGAGTTCCTTGATACGATCGGAGATGTGGATCATGCCCTCCTCGTCGATCGCACCGCGATCGCCGGTATGGAGGAAGCCATCGGCATCGAAAGTGTCGCGAGTAGCTTTCTCGTTGTTGAGATAGCCCATAACGACTTGCGGTCCGCGGGCGAGAACTTCGCCATCTTGCCCAACATCACCTTCCGTACCATCATCTTTGATGATCTTGACTTCAGTCGAAGCTACGATCGCACCACCAGAGTGAGCGTACTTGTATGAGAACTTCGAAGGCGGGTGCGCAGTGATGCATGAACAAGACTCCGTCATCCCATATCCTTGCTTAAAACCGGTGTTGGGAAACTTCTTTTGAAGCTGTTGTATAATCTCTTCCGAAAGTGGAGCAGCACCCGACGAAAAGCGCGTAACATGGCTGAGGTCGTACTTGTCAACCAACGGGTCGCGCACGAGTCGGATGAGAATCGGTGGTACCAGAAGAAGCTCACTAAGCTTGTATTCAACGATAACATCCAACATCTTTTCCATAGTAAACTGCGGAAGCATGACAACCTCGGCATTGAGCAGGACTGGCAGATGCATCTGATGGACTGTAGAGGTAGAGGTACAAAGTCAGTATATGTCTCACATGCAATTCGTACAGTCAGAACTTACCTAGACCAGTGATGTGGAACAGAGGAAGTACGGCCATGATCTTTTTCTGGGTTTCAGGAGTGATCTGCTGTACCTGAAGACATTGCGCTATGACGTTCTGGTGACTGATCATCACAGCCTTTGGCAATCCGGTCGTTCCAGAGGAGAAAGATAGAAAACCGCAGACGTCTTTGTTCTTCTTGCCGGGAGGTAGCTTGAATGCGGAGGTCTGCCCGGAGTCGCCATACGACTCTCCCATACGAATTAGATCCTGAACGGTGGTGTATCCAGGTAACTCGCCCTCCAGTAAGAACACGTTGGATTGCGGTAGTCCTGCAGCCTTTGCGCTCGCGGCTGCGATCTCCATACTACCGGGTGTAGTCATCAAGAACTTTGCGTCCGCGGTCTTCAGCGCGAATGTCATCTCTTCAACGTTGTATGCCGGACTGGCCCCGCTGATCTTCGCTCCTACGCGGAGTCCAGCAAACATCGCTACCGGGTACCAGACAGTATTTTGACTGAACAGCGCCACTGTCTCGCCTTCTTTGAGGCCATACTTCTTGACGAGCGCAGTGGATATATAGGTGGAGTATTTCTTCACATCAGCCCAGTTTACACGCTCCTTCGTGATCGCGTTTTGGAACCCAGCTAGTTCGTTCGGTGGGTATTTGTTGATGGGCGAGTAGGCGGAGTCGAAGAGCCAGTCCCAGTCCGTCAATTCGGTTGGTACTACAACGGTCAGCATCAATGACAATGCATTGGCATGGTAGATTCGACTTTTGACAACTTACGATCGATGGGCGGTTGCCTGGACTTGAAGATCACCATCTTAACGCAATTGACTCAGCAATGGATAGCAAACGACACGCGACTTATAACCGGATGAACTGATGCGAGGAAACCAGCGCTGTATAATCGTACTGAAAAGCGCAGTACAGAAGGTGACGGGTCAAGAAGCGAGTGACCATCAGATGGGCCGCCTCCATGCCTTCTAATAGGCGACTGCCACCATTCTTCCTCGGCGCGCTCATCTCCATCGGATTCGCACTGCTCGAGTCGATCGTGGAGCGGGGATAAGGTACAAGGCGGGGTTGAGCAGCTACCCTGTCATCCGGAAGCGGTTAAGATCGGCGCTCCTTCTGACGTTATTTCGGGTAACATCCGAGCCAGGGTGTAAGAGCCGCTTGCCACACACCAGATCATCTTGTTACGAGGTTTGAGTGGGACTTCAAAATCATTAGTAAACAGAATCCCGATATAAGGAGGCCCATACCCAGACAGCAACCGCGACTTCCAAGCCTCTCATCACCACTAGCCGAACCGATCTACCATCTCCACAACCGACATGTCCGACGCAGGAGATTTGCAACAAGACCCCGTCTTGAAAGTAGAAAGCAACAAAGACCTCAGAATCACCCTCATCGGCACCGGAACTATTGGCCTATCCTTCGCCGCCTTCCACCTATCCCACCTTCTCGGCCCTTCCCAACTCACCATCTACGATACTCGACCAGATGTCGACCAATACGTCGAAGAAAACCTACCAAAATTCTTCGCAGAAGAACCTGCTGCTGCTGCTATCTCCAACATTCGCATCGCCAAATCCCTCGAATCAGCTGTAGAAGACGCGCACATCATCCAAGAATCCGGTCCGGAGAATCTCGCCTTTAAGAAAGAGCTATGGGCGAACGTGGAGAAACATGCACCAGAGCACTCGCTTTTTTGGAGCAGCACATCTGGTATCCCAGCCTCGCAGCAGGCGCAAGATATGCAGGATAAGTCGAGGTTGTTGGTCGTGCATCCGTATAACCCGCCGCACATCATGCCGTTGCTGGAACTAGTGCCGTCGCCGGATACCTCGGAGGAAGTCATCAAACGGACGCAGGATTTTTGGACGGGTCGTGGGAGAGTACCGATACATATTAAGAAAGAGACGAATGGCTTCGTGGCGAATAGGCTGGCATTTGCGTTGTTGCGCGAAGCTATCCATCTTGTAGCCGAGGGGGTTGTTTCCGTGGAGGAATTGGATAGCATCGTAGAGAGCAGTATGGGGCCGCGGTGGGCAGTGGCCGGACCTTTCAAGAGCTATCATGCTGGTGGTGGACCGGCGGGGTTAGAAGGCTTCTTTAAGAATATTGGGGGTACGGTGCAAGATAGTTGGCAGGATGCGGGGAAGCCAAATGTTGGAGAGGGATGGGAAGAGAACATTTTCAAGCAATCGCAGGATGCGTACGGTACTGTGGATGTTGGTGAGCGCGATAGGTTGACGCGAAGAGTGTTGGAAGTGTTAAAGGAAGAGAGAAGCAAAGGCGCACAAGCCTCAGAGGATTGAATGCAACCAAGACTAAGCAACCAATGTATTGTTTGAAAGAGAGCTGAGATTCGACGACGTATTAGTACATCTAAACGATAAGGTACAAGCTGGTGATGACACTAGGTCCAATGAAGAGACCAAACCAAAACACAATGTTCCCCAACGTGTCTCTCCCCTTCATAAACTTCGTCTTGCTGAACGCTGCCAGCGGCAGCTGCGTCAACTGGAATGTAAACAGATATCCCCTGACCTTCTTAAACAAGCAGAACATGAGAACCTCATGCACAATAGCGCTAAGCAAGAAAGTGAAGAAAGTTGCCTGCATCTTTGATAGATGGAAGAATGAGATCGAGGAGTGATAGACATGTCGAAGCAGGAAGTTGTGGACCGGTCGGTTCCAGTCGCGAGCGTATTGATCGAAGGATACAGAGTTCCACCACGCGCCGTAGAAACCACGGTCGGCAAAACGCGTGACTTCTGCCAATACGTTGAGGAGACATTCCCATATGACGTACCAGCTGAGAAGCTGTTCGAGGAGAAGGGGGAAGAGCATATCGGATACTATAAAGGGAGACGATTAGCGGTTTATTCAACGGTCTCATAGTGATGTAGCACTTACCAACCCATGGAAACTCTTTCCATCGCTCATCGAGCGACATGCCAGCCTCTTTGTGTCGCATAGTCTCTACGACTACTGGGTAGATGTATGCTTGCGAGATGATGATCATAATCCAGATGACTCCCAGGGTGGCCGCTGACTTTTCCGCTACATACCACCAGTTGATGCGTTCCTGCCTGGGGTACTCTAGATCGTAGACGAGTGTGGGAAGGCACGCCCACTCTACAAAGTTGTAGAACGTTAAGTTGTTCGGGTAGACGTTATCAGTGGTAGTGCACTTTCCACGAAGCTCTTCATCAAGAATCGTAATCTCGGTGTTGAGCACGCGTCGAAAGGCTTCAATCTGTTCCGAATCCAGCGGGTTCCCGGTTTCAATAGCTTTGCCGATAGATGCAATCTCAGACTCTTCCTTTGATAAATTGGTAGAGTACTTTGGCCCAATGCTTCCCCGACGCGTCAACTGGCCTTGGTCAGATTTCTCAAGACCGGAAGCAGTTAGCGCCTCAGTCGGGGGATCTGTTTGGGTCGGGCCCTCATGCGCTTTGATATCATCGAGTTGACGTAGTTTCTCACGGAGCAGATTGCGTCGTCGATATACTCGCGATACTATTGATAGTCAGCTCAGGTCTCTTGTTTCAGTGCGGATCACATACAATAGCCGTTGTAGAAGGAGTAAGCATGCTGCTTCATCAGCAACACGAAGACGTGGAGAACGATGAAGACTGTATGAGTCCAAGGCCAGTCTCGCCAGAAAGTAACCCAGATGATGGTGCAAGTGAAGAAAGTCTGCCACAAAGACTGTATGAGCCAGCCTGAACCGTTCCAAGTCAGATAGTCGTTGACAATGGCCTTGTGCAGGAAGAAGCCAAAGCTGGTGGCTACACACATTGCGACATCGGTCGTCAACATGACGAACAAGTCTTTGTCGATCATCAAGTGCAGAATCTCTGCATCCCCAAATACGGAGCCTTTCGTCCTGTAGTTGCCTGCTGCTATTCGCGCGAGTAGCAAAGCCATCGCGATCCAGAAGAGTGTGAAGAATCCATGGAACGGGGAGTGCGCAGCGGACGCGTTTTGGCGGTCGAACGTGGTGAACTGTTGTGTGAAGACAAGATCGCGGGGTTTCCCCTTCGCCTTTCCATTGAGTTTCTCAGCCTCTCGCCGCAGACCTGACTGAAGAACCTCTTGGAAGACAGGATCTTTAGCAGTGAATGTGTACTCGCCCTTCTTTCCCGATTGCTCTAAAACGACCTGGATGCTCTTCCTACGGCCTCCGGGTTTCTCGACCACCTGCGTTTCTGAACCACTGTCATCGGACGGTATCGCTGTCGTACTTCTACTTCGCGAGTCTGCTGCCTGCTCATCGTTTTGGGGACTCAAAGTTGTTGCGCCGTCCACATCCAGTGTTTCCGATGCTGCGTTGGCTGTCCACGTGTCGTGACTACCGAGCGCGGGTCGCGTCGACAGTCCCTGCAATACGTGTGCCATTGCTGACTTCTTGGGCACCAACGGTGTAAATTAGGATTTTTGACTCTGCGGCTTCCTTTCTGTGTCGTCTTCAATAGTTTGCGGTTTGGAGATGGATACGCGGCAGTCTGAGGATATATACCGGATGTCCGTGGCTGGTAGAGAGAGTTGTGGCGTGGGTCCCTTGTAACGGAATCATCGGAACAGGTGGATGTTACGAGCTCACGGCGAGATGTAAGACGACGGCCGAGCTGTGATAAGATAAATCAGAGCAGCTGACCGCCTATCCTCTGAAAGAACAGATGCGCGTGAATGAGACGCGCAGGGAATTGGCTTTAGGTCGAGGCGACGAACATGATGTAATGCCGCGCCCTGCATCGCGGAAACTGATCCGTAGCTGCACTAGCCACGTCACGTGAAGCTCCAGCCACTCGCAAGGCTAAATTGCCCGGGCGATCACCTGGGCACCTTTGGGCGGCCGTCCTGTCATGCCGTGCGTTCCACTTTGCGACGCGACACTCTCTTGAGCCGCTTGCAGAGCCGGACTACCCGCAGACCACTGCTATTTGAGGCACAGCCCTGTCTTTTTTTTGGTTAGAGTCGGCAACAGCGTTGATCCCGACGTAACCCGCAACCAGCCTCCCCGTCTCATTTCAACATACTGCGGACATGACTTCCTACGAGAAACCGAAGCCAGTATACTTTTCTTTTCAAATGCACTGCGCTCGGGGTTTGCCAGACACTATGTCTACGCGCTGGGGCTTTGACACCCCGGCTCTAAGGCGTCCACAGGATCTCGCGCACTCTCGCTTCCATCCTTCTGGCACAGTAAGGCGCCCGACAAACGCTTTGAGAGGCTTAGCGACGCTTCAGTTGCCCCTGACTTAATCCCAAAAACGGGAAAAACGGGAAGGCTGCAGGCTGTGAGAAGGCGGAGCACCAATGCAGCATGCAGTTGTTATTGCTGAAATACTCTTGAGGTCGCCGCGAACCGTGTCTCGCGTCTTACCGTCAGTCGAACGCCAACTCACCTCACATTGACTTCGGAAATCCAACTTAGGGACTTGATCAGCACCAACACCCTTTCGCCATGGCACCCAGACGCAGCGGCGGCGGCGGCACCGGATATAGCAATGCTTCATGCCCCGACGCCTTCAATACACCGTACAGTCAAGCCGCGCTTGCATTTGTGGTGCTGTTCCTGGTTCTGTACACGGGAATTTTCATATCAACGTTCTTTATCCGCAAGAAGAGCGGTGCCGGAAAGAAGTTGATTGGTGTACCTTTCGTTGTAGCCCTATTCCTCCAAGTAATGTAAGGACAAAGTGCATTTCGCAGGCTTTACAAGTGCTAACATGCTCCAGCACGCGTATTTTAGGTCTCGTAAGCCAAGTCATGTCACAGTGCGACAACATCAACTACATTGATTATTGGAATATCAACGTTGCCTCCGCCATCATGAGCGGTTTGGCCAATGCTGCGCTGCTGTTCGTGTTTGTCTACGTCCTGAACTCCATGCTGCACAAGCAATTTGGGAACATGTCATCTGGTTCCAAGACCGTACTTCTGATTACTATTGGCGTTGCGTTTGCTGTCATCCTAGCAGACGTCAGCATGTTTGCCTACGTCGCATTGGCGGACAACTCCTTGGACTCCAACTGGGACTTTGCGTTACTAGTTTCAAATGGTCTCGATCTTGCCTACGACATCGTATGGATGATCGTTGTTATTATTTCGGCGGCTATGTCTCTGTCAAACGTTTCGGCATTGAGATCAAGACGCTTACCCGGAGGTGTAAGTCCATGGCAGCTACTATCTACTGGTACAATTGCTAACAGCCCCAGGACCTCTTCGGCTGGGTTACCGCCCTCTATGTTACCCTATTGGTGAACGCATCATTGGGGGTAATCTACTCATCCAGTATCTACTGGCCCGTAACACCTTCTCTTGGCGCATCGCTGGCCTTGTCTTACATCATGGGCTTAGTCAAATGTTTGGCTTTTATAACGCTGCTGGGCATCGCCAAACACGTCTCCTGGAACCAGACGATCGAGAAGACCGAACAAACTTATGCGCCCGTTACGCAGCAGCAGGTCACGTACGGCTATGGCAATGGGCAACAGGATTACTACCAGCAGACACCCGAACTTGTACATGTCAAGTAGGTGGAGGGTAGCTGAGGGCGCTCGATGAAGTCACACGCCATTCCTACGTTTTTTCTTGCATTACCACGCTGTTTCGCTATATACCCAGAGCCTAGCTTCAGAACATGATGTTTATACCATTCACATTCTGCATGATGCGCCAGACTGACCTTACTCTTTCATAATTCCTGCACTGTATGGTCTCCCAACTCTTCTGCTTGTTCATCCTGCAGCCGGTGTATTATTGTGCGAAGCTCAGCCGCGATAAAACCGAAGAGAGCTGCTTGCCCATTCATTCTTTGGTGCACGTGTCATTGTCAAGGTATAATTTGTGGAAATGAAGAGGAGTTCGTCTTTTTCTTCAGTCGACCGGTGTGAGATAGTGATTCGATGCGGAGGCGCGGAACTGAGGAATCGAAACAGGCAGGCACACCTGAGGGCCACATGCACCTGCACAGGACCCAAGCACTACGTAGGACACATATCATGTCTGTACGCGAAACAATTGTCGCATATCTTTGCCTGCATTGCTCACAGCGCTGTACAGCATCGCATGTGCGACGGCATCCTCATTTGCTCTAATTCCCATGGCAAGGTGTTCACAGCATGCGGCTGCGCCTCAGCCGCAGCGGGTCATGCAGGCACTCAGCCTTCGCAAGAAGGCTGCTTTCCCATTCAATCCGCCCTTATCTTCGCGCTCAATCCTAGCACCATTGCAATGCGACACTTTGGAAAGGACAAGTAATGCGCACGCAGCAAGTATCCTACGATGGCCGAAGTCATAGGCCTCGCAGCTAGCATCATCCAGATCGCGGGGGCTGGTGCCAAGCTCAGCGTCGCGTTGTACAACTTCACGAACTCAGCCGCGCGGGCAGACCAAGACGTCAAGGACATTGCCGATGATGTAGAGCTCACATCAAATGCGCTCGAAAGCGTAGGCAGGGTGTTTGAGTCCGAAGAGGCCGGATCCATCGTGTCGAAGAAGGCTATCCAGGACGCTAACAACATCATCAAAAAGTGCCAAAGCGTCTTCGACGAAGTGTCAGAGATAGTAGAGAAGAGGAGAAAGACTGCAAAGGATGGAAAGAAAAGCTTGAGCGTGATGGGTAAGCTGGCCTGGCCGATGAAGGAACAGCGGGTCGAATTGAACCGAAGGAGACTTGAGAGTTTGAAGAACAGCCTTGTGCTTTTGTTGCATGTCTTGCAATTAGCCCAAGGTCAGGCGCGAGGGTAAGCCGAGTTAATACACTACCATGCATAAAATGCAGCTGACAAAAGCCACAGAAAAATGGAAAAAGGTGTCTTGGATGAAGAGCGTGAGAAGATCCGCGAATTGCACCAGCGACAGCAGGACTCACTCAAAAGCCTGCAAGCTCTCGAAAACAGATTCTGTCATATCGCAATCAATGACGAAGAAACCCTTCGAGGATCAAGCGTCGCCTCTCGTGTCCCAACTTTGGAGCTTATGGCCAACGCTCCGGTTATGGAGCTGCCTCCGCTAGAGAAAGTCCCAAAGCTTCAGCCAAACACCATTACCATCGAACTCTCGACCACAAATGATTCGGACACTTCTGACAGCGACGCAACGATGTCAGGCGATGACAATGAAGAGCAGATCTCGACCGAAGAGCTGGCAAAAGCAGCGGACCATGTGAAGAAACTCTTAAAGCGCATCACAATGCTACAGAAGAGCTTCGATGTCGACAAGAAGAAACATCGAAAGCGACACGTGCACAAAATGTATCAACGCTTTTGTCGCAAATTTGAATCAGGTATCAAGCTTCCGTCAGCTGCCGACTTTGGAAAGGTTGCTCCATTCATCGATTTCGATATGAACGATAACTCGGGCAGTCTGGAGAATTTTGACTTTGATAGCTTTCTTCACGTCCCGGGTGAGAGCACGCATTTTCCATTGGATGATTTCTATTTCAGCCAAGGGCAGGGTGCAGTGCCTCAGCAGACACCCAATCTCGATGCCATATCGTCGGCGCAGAGCTCACAGCACCCGCCTCTTGTGTCACATAGATCTCTGGAAACGATCCCATCATTTGATGCGCAAACGCCCCATTATCCTCCAGCGCCGAGTGGAAGTGCAGCCTCAGACTTTCCGTTGGATCTGTCTGGTCAGCAACAACGACCTAGTCTTGGTCAAGGACAGTCAGCACTTGTTCAGCAGACTCCTGAAGCATTATCGCAGACGTGGGCGCAGTTTCAGAGGCAGGCGCAATCCATGGTTCAACAACAGGCTCAAGCGCAACCCATGGCTCAACAACAGGCTCAAGCGCAATCCATGGCTCAACAACAGGCTCAAGCACAGCACCAAAAAGCTCAAGCGCAGCACCAACAAGCTCAAGCGCAGCGCCATCAAGCTCATTGGCAGCACCAACAAGCTCATTCGCAAGCTGCAATGCAGCCAATGTCAGGAATGATTCAAAGCCCGCCTAGTCCTGCTATGCCCATGCTCAACAGGCCCATGCTATCACCAGTCTCTACTTCTAGTCCCTCTATGCCTATTTACAGCAGACCTGTGATTCCTGCGATATCTCAGTCGTCACAAAGCGGTGTCGAAAGCTCGCTGCATACCCAGTCTCCCATGTTGACCGCAGATTCGACACTCTTACCACAACCGCCAAGTCCTACCACTGTCCTGCGAGACTATCAATATCAGTTGATGTTCTTGTATTGTCGGAAAAGGAAAAGCAATCCACCCTCTGAACAGGGACAATATGGTAACAACCAATTGATGGCGGATAATTCGATGACAGAGAGTATACCTATGCAGTCTGAGAAGAGTGAGAGGCAAGATCCGCAATCAACTTTACAAGTCTACGGTTGGCCAGGCGTTCGCAAAAGAGCAAACACAAAGGAGGAGAAACGTGCACCAACCCCTGGACGCGCATTCACGGAACAGCAAAAGAGGAATGCGGTCCAACCATGCAACAACTGTCACAGCCTCAAACTCAAGGTAAAGTAAACCCACATCACCTCCGCATATCGTACTGATTGGCCGCAGTGCGATTATAATTATCCGTGTGGCAGCTGCATAACGCGGAACGTTGAGAAAGAGTATCTTTCAGAGAAAACCTGTCGCGGCATCAACATTGCCGAGCACGCTCAAGGGCTTCCTACCGTATTTGAGAACACTGGCCAACAGCTAGGCGTTCCTGTCCCACCCTCATCGAGCCTGTACACAACCTCTGGTAGCTCGTCAAGCAGCAAATCACACAAGAACCCGCCCGTTATTCACGATGGAGGTGGAAAGATTTACGACCCGAACATCTCCACGTCTGCGCCGGATGGGGGGGAATACGATACATCATCAGGATACGTAGAGCCCGAGGCCGAGGAGTCTTACCTCTCTAGAGCCAAAAGTCTCAAACCCAATGTAGGGAGAGTGGGCGACCAAAAGCGTTCGCGCAGCCCTTCCGACGTTAGAACAGGTCTCTCTTGGCCACCTCCAGCGGCCCTACGCTTCTCGACTGACGATGGAACGGAGCAGGACGCCGATCAGCGTTCACCGAGAAAAAGGCGACGTTTGGCAAAGGAAGAGAATGAGCAGTTTTCCAAGAACACTGCTGACATCATGTCAAAGCTAGAGGACGATGAGCAAATGACAGAGACTGGAAACATTTCGATTTCGGTGGACCGAGATATCGTCGATGTGTTGCTCGAAGAATGGACAGTACCAGTGTATTGACAGCTACATGCTCTTCAGTCTTATTTCAAGAGTGCGCAATGGGTCACATCTTCGTCTCATTTCAAGACGGTTCTTGTATGATATTCCAGGTGCACATCAGCAGAATGCTCGTCTATCCTCAGAGTATCATCACTTCACCACCGTAAACTTCACTTCCCCTGCGCCCTCAAACTCGATTTTCGTACCCATCTCCAACCCTGCACTACTCCAAGAAGCAAGGTAGTTCATTACCTCATCTACCGTATCCTCTGTCCACCACCACGATCCGCCGAGATGGCAGAGTATGTACTCCTTCCCAACCTCTAGCTCCAACCTACTTAAATTCCCGCCTCCGAAATCCAACTCTCGGTGCTCCGTATACGCTCCTTCGAATCGTATGAATTCGTGTCTTTCATTTTCGTAATGCTCTCGATCTACATCTAGATAGGGTTCGAGCTTGCAGCGCGACGTTGCGTCGAGGATTGCCAAGTCGGATTGAAGAGACTTGACCCATGCGCGATCTGCATGGACTGTAAAGGGATACGCGGCGTCCGTCGAGAACGTGAGCGTGAAAGCGAGTTTCTTGGTGAGGGAGGAGAGAGAGTATGTTGATGGTGCTGATAGAGAGGCGGTGACTTTTGGTGTCTTTGGTCGCGAACTTCGGGTCTCGAAGATGATTGTGTCGTTGCCGTTGGCGGCCTGCCAGGGTATAGTCGGTGTGGCTGGTGTAGGAAGTTCAGACGCAGATAGCAAACCGCCCGGGCTTCTTGAAAGAGAAGTCGAAGTATTCACCGCGCTGACTGGCCAATGCGAAATCGGGGTTGTCGGTTTGAAGCACAGTCTGTACTTCCTATCTGGTCGGAGAGCAGTAGTAATGAACGGCATTTCGCAGGATTTACTGGGCCTCCCTGTAGTAAAGATGACTTCGCTTTGGTCTTCACGAAAGAGAACTGGCTCTGTGCCTTGGCGCACGACTTCAACTTCCTCACCTGTCTCGTTGTCGAGACACTGGATAAATTGGCTGGAGTTCATGGGCTGGTAAAGCCTCGAGCCTGCGAGACCATCTTGGAGGTATATAACTCCCTCTTTAAAATTGTACTCTGCGATGATGAGGACTATGAAGAAGACGGGATCGTTTGAGAGATAGCATGTTCTTGTAACGAGAAGCTCGGCTTCAGCCCGCGAGCGAAAATCGGTCATTTCGTCGATGTTACTGGGTATCGGAATTACTACGGTCTATCGATTGATTCCAAGGTCATGTGTAACATGCGAGCAGAGCTTGATTGTGATTCAGAAAGTGTTGCAGTTCTTGACTGTGCCCGTCGGCTGATGTACACCACCTGGGCACTGACGTCAGAGGTCTCATCACTCAGTATCAGTAGAGGACGCTTCCACGCAGCACAATCAAATGAGCGACCTTTAGGTCGTTCAAATCCAAATCCACTCCCTTCTCATCCTCTCATTTACCACCAGCCTACAGATCAACCCAACACTTAGTACATCTCTGCCTCGCCAAACCAAACGGCCTTTGTCCCTCCTCATCCTCCCAAGTCTCCGTATCAAACTCACTAACTACCCTTCCCTTAAACGGCTCCTCCGCACCATCGCTCCAAAGATGCGTCACAGCATCCGCAATACACTCAATCTGAATACCTCTAAACCCCATCAACTTGGCCTCGCGCCGCAGCCAACGCGCCGCGCCCGACGCAACACCCTCGCCCTCGTAGTCATGGCGTGTAGACGTCGCGTTACGCATCAGCACCTGGCCTGGTGCGGTAGCTTTCCACTCCGCTGGATCCCTCGGGTCGAGCTTCCGTAGAGCGCCGAAGAGCGGACCAAATTCTGGTATCGCTTCGTCTACCGGGCCCATCTTCGCGGGATCGAGAGGGACGAAGTTGTCGTACGACAACGCTATGCTGACCAATGGGAAATCCATCTGGCGGAGTAGTCTCAAGCCCTCTGCTTTTCGTCCTTGGGTTTGCTCCACGCTATTCTCCTCCGGTTCATTGACATCCCAGAATAGCTTCCCGCCTGCTTCTTTCGCCTCGGGGGTCTTGAACTGGTATTCTGTGTCGAACACGCCGTAGGATAGACCAGAGTCGATTTGGTGGGCGACGAGGTACTCGAGTTTTCTGGCACTTTCTAGTGTCCAGCGGCCGAGTGCTTTGTCGGGCCAGATGTGCTGCCAGATCGCGGAGTGGAAACCGTGGCTGTGGGCTAAGATGGCGGTCGCCCAGAGCAGATCTTTGGGTTCTAGTTTACGGATCTCATAGCGGGGCTTTAGAGAGGAGGGGTTAGAGGGAGTAGGCGTCTTTGTGTTTGTTGCTGGTTTGGACATGTTCGCGTATGTGAAGGCGAGTGCCTATTGGGACGGTCTCGACTAGTAGGAGGCGGAGGGCTTAGTTTTGATGTCGATGAGGAAGTAGTTCCTGGTTCGCAGGAGGTGTATTGTGTCCACGCTGAGAGATGTTGAGCTTCGAATGCTAGCTAGCCTACGCACTCTTATAGAGAATGAGGCAAGAGCGACAATGTACGGATAACTAGTACGTGAGTATTCAATAACAGATAGTCCGGTGTGCAAGAAAGGCGCGATTAGAAATTGAAAGTTATGCGTGCGAGTGTGTTGGAGGGCGCACTTCATGCATCAAAAGGGCTCAAGCGGATGACCCACGAATTCAGCGCAAACTGGCCAGCAAGCTTGTAAACCCTATCCAAAGCTTCGCTTCTCGTCCAAGAATGGTCCATAATGCGGGTAACAAATTTTGCGTGCAGGCGCTCTTGTCCGCGTTAGGAGACCAGGATAGTACCAAGCTGCGAGGCTTACGCGCCTGAATGCAGTATGTTGAGCCGACCCACACATGTTCCTCGTATAAAGTACTATACATCAATATCCTTGTTGACCGCATGCCTTTAGCTAGGAATAGATTTGTAAAGGTCTCGGTTAGCGACAGATGTTGCCACTGTTAATGGTTTTGTAAGATCTGCAAAATTCGTCAAGAAAGTCTCTGTTCCGAATTAGTCATCAGATCCACGATACCCACGACAGTCAAGAGAAGTATGTTTCTTATTGCAGAGTGCAAGGCGCACAGGACGTTAGATTAGACCTTTACCCTCCTGCAATAGCGCAATTCCTCGCTCTTTTAACTTGAATTTCTGGATTTTCCCGCTCGCAGTCTTGGGGTAGTTGTCGACCCAAAAGACGTACTTCGGCACTAGTACATACAGTCAGCATAGTTCCTAGGCGGGCCCGAGGCTTCGAATTCGATGTTGTAGGAGCGCATGGACTTACCTAAATGGTGGCTCAATTTCTCCCTGACCCAGTTTCGCACCTCGTCCGTGGTCACGTTCCCATCATCGCCAGCATGCGTGACTATGAAGGCTGCGACAACCTCACCGTACCGCTCGTCGGGTAGACCCACCACACTAACCTCGCTGATAGCAGGATGAGCGAAGAGACAGTTCTCGACCTCTAGTGGATGGATGTTCTCGCCCCCCTTGATGATCAGATCTTTTATCCTGCCAGTAATCTTGATGTATCCTTCTTCGTCCATAGACGCCTCATCTCCGGTATGCATCCATAGCATACCGTCTTCGTCCGGTTGTAGAACTTCCTCTGTGCGTGCTGTATCACCCCAGTACCCTTTCATGAGGAGGTAGCCTGACACTGCGAGTTCGCCGCGTTGGCCTACGTCAAGTGTGCGCGACCAGTCTGACGGACTGACGACTTTGGCGCGAACATGTGGGAGAAGACGACCGACGCTGTCGATGCGCTTTTCGATCGGGTCGTCCGTGGTGGTCATGGCTGATACAGGAGAGGTCTCGGTCATGCCGTAACAGATGGTCAACTCAGTCAAGTTCAGGTTCTTGTGTAGCTTGCGCATGAGTTCCGAGGGTATAGCAGAGCCTGCTGCAATGCCGGTACGCAGATATTGAAAACCATCTTTGGGTACAGCACCATGAGCCAGCAGCTCCAGTTCAGCTACGAACATGGTGGGGACGCCATAGAGGGCTGTGCATTTGTATTCGCGAACGGCTTCAAGTGTGGCCAGGGCATTGAAGGCTTCGGTGGGAAATACGATGGCGCTACCGTGGGTAGCCGTGGCCATGTATCCCAGAATGCATCCAAAGCAACTACAAACAGTCAGTTGATGTTGACAGTAGATTGCTACAAGGACTTACTGGAACAATGGAGGCGGACAGCACACAACGTCGTCTGGCGTTAATAGCATCCTATCGCCGATGCTGTTTCCGTTGTTCAAAATACTCCTATGACTTAAGCACGCAGCTTTCGGCATGCTTGTAGTGCCAGACGTAAATTGGATATTGACGATGTCATCCGGATGCAGGCCTTGATCTTCGAACGCATTGTCCTGTGCGCCATCCTCGAATACGTGCTCGTATCTCTTTAGACTCCTATAGTCTCCCAGATCCACCCTGCCTTGCGCGTTATTCACCAGTATGACGTTCTTCAGCGACGGGACGAGTTCGGATTCGAGGGTCGAGCCGGCGAGATTGGGTATCAAGTGCGTGAGGAGCGAGATGTTGGATCGCGGGTCTTTACGCGGGAGGTTCGTTTCGGCTCCGATGACGAGATGCGCGGCATCTAGGTGATTGATCGCGTTGAGGACTTGGGGTGCGTTGAACGAGGGATTCAGTGGCACCTGTGTAGCTGTTAGCTGCTAGTGCCCATGCTCCTAGCCGGTTGGCTACATACCAGTATCGCTCCCAGTTTAAACAGCGCGTACGTGAGCTTTCCCTGGTCAGCAACTATGCGTCTCCAACATGCTTCCAACATACAGTAGCGAACTCAGCATTGTTCCCTAGACTGACGGCGACTCTTTCCCCCTTCTTCACGCCAAGCTTCTGCAGTCCCCTGGCAAGCCTGTTCGAGTCGCGATCGAGCGCATCGTACGTCAGGTGTATACGTTGATGGTGCGATATGACTCTATATGAGTATTAGCAACGCGTCTCTGGAGCTTGTGTCAGTCGGCACGTACGCGTTCCTGTCACCGTATTGCTTC